CGCAAGCCAATACTGGTAGATACGCAAGCCAATACTGGTAGTTGCGCAAGCCAATACTGGTAGATACGCAAGCCAATACTGGTAGTTGCGCAAGCCAATACTGGTAGATACGCAAGCCAATACTGGTAGATACGCAAGCCAATACTGATAGTTGCGCAAACCAATACTGGTAGATACGCAAGCCAATACTGGTAGATACGTAATCCAATTCTGGTAGATACGCAAGTCTATAGAGCGGATTTCGTATGAGTGGAAAACGTACGGTACTGTACTGTGACCGTAATCGTACTGTTCCAAATTCTAGTGCCCCATTTGTTCACAAAAATTGTGCAGGCCAGGTCCGGTAACCGTGCGGTAACCGTGCGGTAACGGTGTCCCACTCATACGAAATCCGCTCTATAATAGATACGCAATCAAATACTGGTAGATACGCAAGTCAATTCTGTTAGAAACGTAATGCAGTACTGGTAGATACGTAATGCAATACTGGTAGATACGCAAGCCAATTACGGTAGACACGTAATCCAATACTTGTAGATACGCAAGGCAGTGCTCATAAATACGTAAGACAAGGCAATATTGCACGGTAAAATAAATACGCAAGTCAATATTGGTAGATTGGTATGCCAATACTCGTAGATACGTAAGCCAGTACTGATAGATACGCAAGGCTGTACTGGTAGATACGCAAGACTATACTGGTAGATTCGCAAGATTAAGTATCGGTTGAATTTCATTACTTTTCCTTGTGATAGTTTTATTAGACGTTTTCTCGTGTTAATCTCCTCACTTAATCATACTTTATTTGAAAGGGGAATTTCTGAGAAATTTCTTTGGAAGCAAAAAGCACAATTTTTTAAAATATATACAGTCAATTACAAAAAGTTTGTGGGATAAGATTTAAAATTAAATTCATAAGACACTTAATGGCATGCAAAGGTACATTTAAAAATGGATGATTACATGTGAAGACCGAGGAGAATAGGTAAAGTACAGTACATTATATCCGCAGTTGTCTAGCATTCTGTGACTCTATATTCCTCTGAACAGGGAAACGAAGCAAGACCAAGTTAAAATGGCTAAATCTCGCGACATTACCTCATTTTCATAAACAATTAAAAAAACTTCTGGTTTAGTCTCCTCGCAGCCGTTCTTAGTGGCGGGCTCCCTGTCCCCCGCCCCACAAACGGCTGCTTCAATCCGAGCTTTGATCGTTTCCCTTTGTCTTTTTCCTTCTTGGGGGTCTATTTGAATTAACCAATCACATACCATGACAGTCTACTCCCGCTGTTACCGCTAAGCCAATGAGATGCAGCGTAATGAAAGTTGATATTTTGTTTGCGCCAAACTTCGTAAAACCGTTAAAACTCATCCGAATATATCAAGAAATCAGTCAAGATGTTTTACTTGTTCTTCCCTGCCAGTTAGCAAAGATAGGTTTTACATCTAGTTTGGGAAAACTAGTACAGATAAAAATAAAATTATATCATTTAAAATTATAAAAAGCGGATTCTTTGCAAGTTTACGTAACCACGTATCCTGCCGATGCAGATTTGTTTGTCTGTAGACAATGTTTTCAAAGCTTGAATAATACGATCGCGCTTCAAAGAAACTAGAAGACACGGAAAGAGCTTGATCAGTCTTTTGTTCAGCAAGAGAAGCGACCACGAGAAATAGTTACAAGGGAATATGAAGGAAGTCAGAGTGCCACATGTCAACACCAAGAGCTGCGAAGTATCCTGGAAGTTTCGTTGAATCATCGAGAACTTTAAGTAAAGCTTAAAAAAATCAAGGATTTATCGAAACCAGTATGTAAATAAACAAACACATCTCAATTTCCATCTATAAGCTTTGTAATGGGAAGCTTCTTGGGGCAATTTAAGCACGATATCTTGAATTTTTGAGAAGCAAACACAAAACTATCCGCGATGTCACCCGCCATGTTCAGTATGATCGCACTTATAATAAGCGAGTTCCTATTGGTCAATAATTTTGGTGGGAACTGCTGCAAGAAAATGAAAGCCGAACTGTGATTGGAGAAACGATTACAGCTCGGATTGAAGCAGCCGTTTGTGGGGCGGGGGACAGGGAGCCCGCCACTAAGAACGGCTGCGAGGAGACTACTTCTGGTTCAAAATGAAAAAAAAATAAAAAATAAAAAATAATTGCCTTGTGCTATTTCAAGACGTTCCATTGTTATATTAAAACAGCATAAATATTGTTTAAAGTGCACATGACGCCTGACAAAATATGAAGTTTCTGATTCTTTGTGAGATGATTTATGAAGTAAATAATTGAATGGTGAAATATTTCTGCATTTCAGAGCTTCGTCTTTGAGTTTTGAACTTTTAATCTTCCAATATGCTAATGATAATGACGTCAAGGGAGGCTTCATGAGATATACGAACTTTGAAGCAGTCGCTCAAAAATGTTTTCATTAACGCCATCTAGGAATATGGTTATTCCCTTCATTGCATACAATAAATTTAATGACAAGATCAAACTATTTTCAAGCGACTCCTTCAA